CAAAATTTCATAACAAACCCCATCGTCGGCGCCTGGCGCTTGGCGGGGTACATAAGCGACAGCTGGTTGTTGAAACAACATTTCTTGGAAATGTACCCGCCCATTATTGTTGACTGACATGATAGAGTGCACCGTAAATATTTGATACGTAATCACTTGAAGATAGATTTGTACAAGTTAGATTAAAAGGAGACTCTTCCAAAAGAGCGGCATATATGATCTTGTCAAGTTATTCAGATGGACGTCAACGCCAGCAAACACCAAAAGATAATGTCGTATCTACTGGTAAGTTTAGTTTGAAATTTAATAAGATTCCGCCCGCAAGAAAACGCAGTAGATACTCCAGCGCAGTAGACTACTGCACTCATACTGCAAACCGCAGTAGACTACTGCAATCATACTGCAAACATGCTTCAAATCTGCTTCGATTTGGGAACTAATTAGCATATTTGAAACATGCTTCTATTATGCTGTTAAACTACTGCATTAATGCTCCTCTCTGTACAAACCTATGTACTTTTTGGAGTAGAATTGCAGTAGGCTATGCTGCATTTCTACTGCAAATATGCTCCACACCACTACTGCGTTAATGCTTTTTTGCTACTTCGATACTACTGCATTTTCGTGCGGGCGCGCTTTTCATTAAATGATCCTTCTTAAATGTATCTTAAGGAGTTGCACGGGAATCAGAGATGCCTTTGTACCTCAGTTTCTTATCTAGGAGTGTGAAGTGCGGCAAGACCAATGAGTTGGCCATTAATTTCAGCCATTTATTAACTGCTAAAGGTATGATTGCAATTTAAACATAGCCGTTTTGAAAATATTTTTATAAATACAAATGTCCAAAAAGGGATCATCCAATTGTTATAAAAAATACGTTCCAGGCGTAAAAAATAATAATTACTGTGGCATTAACTTTTTCTTCGAAATGAACCAAATCGTTCACATTCGCAACTTATTGTTTAAATTTTGGATAGGATATTATCCAGATCTATATAATTTGTTACCAAGCTTTATCTTATTGATTTGATGACAGTGCTTCAATGATTTGTTTTGTGTATTTTTAAACAAAATCATTTATAAACCGATACCTATAGTCCTCAAACGAATAATATTTTATAATTTCTACACGAAGGACTTTAGTTATCAGGAAATGCTGGTTGTAGTAGAGATTATAATTTTCTGTAATCTACAGAAATGTTTAAACTATTAAAAAAAACTTCAGTGAAACTTAAAACATAAAATGGCGGAGGAGTGAGAGAAACATTTTAAAGTTTATTTGTATTATTTTAGAAAATACTTAAATACACTTCACTGCAACATTTTAATGATTAATTTTTTTTTGCTTTCATAAATACAAACTAATTTTCTCTGTCTGCCTGTCCACTCTTGGAGGCTTTTCAACAAATTGCAAAATGTGTATACTCATACTAAGTGTCCGTCGTTTTCATCTTATTCAGATAAATCTGTTATTATAAAGCCTGTTCACGATCGAGGTGTTTGTTAGCTGCTCTTTGCCATTTGGTGAAAGCAAATGAGCCTGCAGTGCTCTAGGCAAACAGATTCCACTTAATTCGAGCATAAGGAAATAAAAATAAAACAAAGAAACCGGTTGAATGTCGCCGGCCGCGTCGTTTTACGCCTTGCACAGCACTTTTTTTCTGGTCAGAGTTGAAGTGTGGCCATTTGGTCCAAAACCCGTAACGATGATGAGTCAGTTTGGAACTCACCAATAAAAGTGCCAAACATTTGAAGGCACTGGTGCTGTGACACAGCGTATGACGAAAAACTCTCAAGTAATGATAAGTGATGCGAGTCCTAATAGTACATCCGTAAGTAGTAGGACAGTCAATATGATGATTGTGTCAGCGCCCGGAATAATGTGCAATTCCCACGCCTTACAGATACAGATTGTATTATATTTCGTGATTTTACATAGTATATAACCTTTAAATGAAAAATAAAGAAATCTAAATTATTCTATGAAATTCTTGACATCATTTCTTGTATAATTATCTTTGTGCACAGCTGTTCAAATTAAGACTTCGAAGTTCGAACCAGTAACAGTGAACACAAAATGTAGTTTACAGCTGAAAAAAAAAAAAAAAAAAAAAAAACAATGTGAACTCGTGCAAAATCAATAACTAAACTGTGAAAAGTAACCATAATAATTGATTTCTTGTAGTATTGATGATTACTAAACCTTGAACAGTAGGTGCTGATAGATCAAGTTCAAGTTCAACCTGATGGGTTTTTCAGACATCCTACAGTGTATGGTCAATAAAAAAAGCCTGCAAAACCAGTAAAAATTAGAAGAAGAATGTTAGCGACCAACCAAAATCATCAACAGTTTTCCTAACTATATTTTTTCCTTGAACTGGTGAAAAGAAGACTTAACGGCGCTGCGTAATATAGCCCCTATTTTCGAAAAACACACCGTCTGTTGCTGTATGTGCAGCCATCAAAATTTCATGACAAACCTTACCTTTGTCGTTTGAGTTTCCTTTTTTCTTCGTAGGGGTACAGACAATTTTCTTCTGAAAAGAAAAATTATGCCATGCGCATTTTTTTCTGTAAGTACCACTTACAAGAATAATAATATCACGAACTGATAAATAAATGGATACTTGGTGGGCAGAAGAGTTTCAGTGGCCAACTGTACATTGTGGCTTTAATGTAGAAGGAACACGGTTTTATTATTATTAAACTTTTATATATGTAAAATAAGTGTTAAGCAAATCAATCTTTCAAGTGATCTTCACCCGTGTAAAATTGCCAAATGAAGTCGAAAGTTATACTAGGATCTGCCCATTTCTTTTTTATCAGCCTGGATGTTATAGTCGGATCATTTTAGTTTCCTTTGAGAACATATCCCACGCCTCGTTGATCGATCTAGGAATGGGAACCTAGTCCTAGAGGGAGGAAGGGGTACTACTTCCATGTATAAGCTGTGCTCGTCCAGTTAGTAACAGTTAGAGTGAGGGATACTGTGTCCTTGCATGTATAAAATAGACACTGTCATATTAGTGGAACTGAAGTGTCATTGTTTGTGCTATTGTTCTATGAGGAGAAGTGACAGGTGTGTTTAGACTTACTAATTAATGTGATTATTGAGGTATGAATTGTATACTTTCCTTGCGTATTGGTTTTGGTAGGTGGATAAAGAATTTCGAATCAGGAACGTGCAGTTTGGGGCTGAAAAATCAATAATTTAAATTGACTTAATTGTCCAAAATAACTGTTACTCACAGTAATGTTGATAATTATATCTTGAACTGTGTAAGTCTATAGGTTCTGGCAAATGTAATCTCAATGGCCGATTGGTAAACTTAAAAACATTTTTATGGATTATTTATTATAATCATTTGTATGTAAAATAAGTAGTCTGTGGATAAAAAAATTGAAGTTATCTTCTCTTGGGTAACCATCGCTTAATGAAGTTCAAATTAATCGAAATACGAGGCTCTTATTTACAAAATAGATGCTTGCTAAATGTATGCAAATAACATTTACTGGTGAAAAAAGTCTTCACCCATTTTGTACAAATAATACCTCTTCTGAATTTTGCTTAAATCTTTTTTGACCAAGATGTCGGCATTTAACGGCACATTGCATGCTTTTTTTACAGCGTGCCTTAACAGTCGTTTTACGTTAATACTCGATCCCCTTTGAATAGAATTTGTCTGTTATCATATATAAATAATGTTTTTGTCACACAGCATACCCAAACGTATGCACACGAACTATCGAGTTATGCAAAATCTCAAGCACATCTGTATACCAATGGCCAAGGATTTCATGTTGGTTGTGATTTCCTTTGTCTCTTGCTGATAACATATGACCCCCGCTTTGTTGTTTCTGATACTATTAAGGTGGTACTTGACTCCTAGATTCTTCATTATTGTCCAGATTTTGCTTACGTTTCTTCTGTACTTTGGGGTATAATTCCCTTCCTCCAATATACATGTATATATATATATAATTACTTGTGAAAAATCAGAGAATCACCTTGACCTTTAAAAAAGGTATTTTTAGCAAAACAATAAAAAAGGGAACCTACAGGTATCACAGGGTGGAAGGTTGTATCCTTTAACATATACTTTGCACTTGCAATTAATCCCTTCACAAACTAGCCGAATTGACACATTTTTTTTTTTTTTTTTTTTTTTGTCATATACAGCTTAACAAAATAGTTTCCACATTCTTTTTATGTGCCGAAATATATAATTTAACATTTAAGAATATCATTTCATTGGGAATAATGTTCCGAGGTTTGGGAACAGGCTGTGGGTCCATCATTACTTGAAAACGAGGTCCTAAGTTCCTAAGACTTGCGTGTATAAATGTATTCTATGTATATGTCACAGGCCCAGGCCAAATCTAGTCCTATGCCTAAGAAGCCCAGATCCCATCTTAATTAAGGCCTGACTGGGCCCAGTCTTAATGTCTGCATTTTTAACAGCAAAATGGGCAATTTAATTGACCAAGTTAATTGGCCTAGCTGCCAGTGTGTTTTTATAGCATGTGTAGGGGATTTCTTACATCAAGGCACACATTATGATACTTGCAGGTGTGGTAAATGAGGTATAGTTGTATATCATTACTTGTAATTTGTAAAATACATCTGAGGATGATACTTTAAAAGATGTTTAATGTTTAAAGAAAAAGTGTATAGATTGATTTAGTAACATTCAGAAATGTTAAATTAAAAGTGGGCTGCCATTTGTTAGTGTATTATTTTAATTATGTAAGTTTTGCAAAGATTATAGGAAATGTCTGCCCAATAATATTTTGTTGACCTTTTTAGAAAAAAAATATGCATTTTCTTAAGGATCAGCCTTATCTCAGTCAATGCAACTTGTTGTCTACCTGACTTTTTAGATTTGGGCTGGGGCTGTGACATATACATTCCGACTGAATGGCTAACATGCATATATTATATTATATTATATTATATTATATTATATTATATTATATTATATTATATTATATTATATAAGGTTCTTCAAGCGATTCTTATCAGCGCCTCGGCACAACGTGGAGGTTTAAAACCAGGGGTCAGGCTCATTGACCCAGCGAGCGTGACTTTGTACTCGTGCGACACAGGGGACATTTATGACAGTAGCACGTGGGTTCTTGTATATCCAAACGGAACGGGGCAAGTTGAAGTGAACAACACCATAAGTACCAGACAGGCAGGAGGTTTGATGCACAAAATTAACGCCGTACAGGAAGTTGGTGAGTTACACAAACCAAGATGTAATAGTCGAAAGAATGAAATAATATTGTAAACTCTTCTTATGTTACTTTCTGTGTTTTTAAAGTTGTCTATTTTCAAAAGGGTTAAAAAGAGTGAAAGAAAAAGTGAAAAAACGAAAAACATATTTTAGTTTCAAGTATTAACTCCGCCAAGTAGGTTTTGTTTTCACATTTGTATGTCTATCTGTTTGTTTTTCACCAGCCTAACTGAAAAAGTAATTAATTTTGATAGAGTTTCCACAATAGGTCATATATTGTGTAGCTTAAGAAATATACTGTATGTCCCATGGTATAATTATTATTCAACTAAATATTATTAGTTATCAAATAAAATTGATTGTCTGTAAGTAATATTGTTCAAAAGGTTCTAGAGGGATTGTGACTAAATTTTCAGGAAAGGTCAGAAATGAACAGTATATGGGTGCTGATTAATCAGTTATTAATTAAAAAGTTAATAATCAGTTTATGGATGAGTTAAACAGTTAATAGTTAATAAATCAAACAATACACTGTGATTATCAATGATAATGGGGATTTAGTTTATAGATTAGTAAATGAAACTTACTAATAATAATGAGAATTAAGTTACCTTGGCTGAGGTCTGTGCTCTCTGAGTGTTGTGTTTTTCTAGCGTTGTATATTAAATGTTTCTGTTTTCAGGCACCTACCTTTTTATGTTAGCCTCTGTGGCGGAACTGGAGGACATCTTTGAATACCTGAACGAATCCCTAGAAACACAAACTATAGAAAGAGTAACGAGACCCGAGGCAGAAGAATTTATACCAGATCCAAACCTTGTAGAATCTCTGATCAACTATACATTTTCAAATGATAACTTCACTCTCAGTGGATCAGCTGTCAATGTGACAGAGTCCCCTGAACTAAGCGAAAATGTTCCAGGTGTTGGAGCCCACAACTTTGTACCGGAAGGAGAAAATGTGCTTGTTTTTACAGGTTACATACTTCGTGCATTATGCATTTGAGAGTTTACCGAAAGCTAAATGTTGTTAAGATATCAATAAACAGTAACTGTCTATAATGTTAAATTCCCGTATTCTCAGAAAGTTCTAAGAAAGTTCTTAATAAGCTCACTATTTACTCATATTCTGCTACTGTGTACATACCTGTGTCGCTTTATATTTCATGCTTATGAAAAGAAAAAGGCACATCGCTTTCAAATGTACCATGAAATTCCGCTTACATTTGCTGAAGATTATTACATAAATACAGTTGTTTTACCAAAATCCTTTAAAATATGGTTTCTGGAGGCCTTCCATTTATCTGGGGATTGAAAGCAATGTAATATTTTGTAACTATTGGGGCTTAATTAAATTTACTACATTTAAAAGCAAAGCTTGTTTAATATTTCTAGGACAGAACGTGTGGAAGTGCGCTGGCCACAGGTACAGTGACAGTGAGGGCAATGAGCACGTGACGTACTATCTCGTGATACCAACTGATCAGAGTCAGGGTGCTAGTGAGGGTGACATCTTAGTGGGCTCTGAAAGCAGAGGATTTCTGGAAACTGTGACCCACATCGACCAAACAGGAGGGAAGTTCTTTGTGCATTCCGATCTACTGTTTTGTGGAGACCTGGAGGAAAATGCAACAGAGCTAATGTGAGGTTTTATTTTGTTTCGAACTGTGGAATAAGGTTGTAATATCTTTCACATGTTCTCATTTCCCAGATGAAGTCTGACTTTTAGCAGACAAAATATTTCTTAGTAAATCTCTGTTAATTTTGCTATTGCTAAAGCTAATGAAACTTGAAAACACATAGGCAATAGAACTGTTCACTAAGGTGTTTTATTGCCAAAGTTGCCAAATCAGTTTGAGTAAGTCTACCAATTTATGTCTTGAGAAAAGGAAAACATTCACACATTATCAAGTACTGTATGAGTTTAAATTTGGCCGAATCTTTACTTGATTAATATAAATACCTGTACAACAGTAGATGGCTACTTTAAATTCAAAAAGAAAAGAAATATACGGTTTTGTTTTAGTGTCACTGATATCGACATGCCAGAATCTGCATTGTTTTGTCAAGGCGGTGACGGAATACCAGGACTTCACGTAAATAACCAATCAGCTGCTGTCAATAAAGGTGACGTCATTGCCGGGCAGCCATCTGAAGCATTTGCTGCAAAGGTATATAAATCGTATTAATAAATTAATTTTTGCTTAATTTTTTTTGGAAAAAATATTCTTTGTACCAAATATGTGCATTCTACTTTCCATTTTTAAGTACACCATTCTAAGATATGGAAACATTTTTCAGGCAATCAGATGCAACACATCGGGTATTTATACCGTTTGTGAAGTGACGCCCATTTTGGAAATTGCCAGCAATGAAATCACATTAGCCAGCTCCAACCTTCCAACAGCAAAGGGTAACCGAGTTAAAAGAGAGACATACTCGTTCACACCCGCTGATTTTACTAAAGTTTTTTCAGCCACTCTGGGGCAAATCAAGGTGAAAAGCCTATACATGTACTAAAACTGTACAGCATGTAATTAAATATTTTTGGAAAGCGTGTACATTTTTAAACAGTTATAGAGGTTGAATTACTGATACTAAGTCAGCATTATTTTTCGTCCAATTACTATTCTTGAACACAGATTGTAAAAGTGGCTCCATCATGTAATTTTTTTTTAAAAGTTCGTTTATAGTCAATAATTTTTTTACAAACGTTTCAGTTTCCCTGTGGGAAATTTACTGCGACTGCCGCAGCGACGTTTAAGGCATCATTGACTACCAGTCTGACTACGAAGTGCTCTGCTCCTTTTATTAAAAAGGTCCGTGCAGCAATCTCTGCCTCTTTGACGTTAACTTTAACGCTGCGACTTGACATTGCATGCAGGTAAGAGACTATCAAATTTTGCATTAAAGGACAACAGCTGGCGATATGTACACAGGTGTTCACTATCATAACGCTGGCTCATCTCTACAAGAATCGTGTGACGAAAGGCAATTATCACATGTCTGAGCTGCGCTGTATCCAGTAAATTTTACTGTGAAACTATTTGCAATTGATTTCTCCGCATGACGGAAGTCGGAGCTGCTTAGGGTTGGATTCGTCAGTTGGTATCTCTCCTTCGAATACTGGTTCGACAACTACAGGCCGTAGCGCGCACGTGCACTTTTTGTTGTGAATCCCATAATTAAGACATTATCTCAGCACGCGTCATCGTCTAACCCTCCTCACAATATTGACATCAATTACAAAAAATTAGAATGCTTTTATTCCGTATACCAAGGAGTATGGCAACGGTTGTCTTGGTGGTGTGGAACACTAACTGAGCTCATGCTAGTACACGCTTGTTATTTCATCGGATTTTAGCCGAAGAAGAAATTTTCATCATTGTGTCAATCAATTGGCAAAAAAAAAAAAAAAAAAAAAAAAAAAAAAATGCATTCAGACCATGATAGCGGGTAATCATGGCTCATCTGAACAAGAGAAATGTACACTTATACCCCTCATTATTAACATTTTTATGATAATAAATCTTAAAAATAATAAATAACAAGTTAGTTCTATAAACAAGCTTGTCTTTCTATTTCAGTTATACATTATCGGGCCCTGACAACCCGAAGTATAACCATCCGATCGACAACAAAGTCATCGTCCCATTCTGTATACCTATATTTTGGGGTATATGCATTCCTGCTGCCGTTGTTGCCGATTTGACTGTGGGATACACGTTCACTGCTCAGGTAAGTTGTTTGATTAATAGAACATTTATGTCTATCCGTATGTGAATGTATCAGTTATATTTTCTTGTTTAACCCCCGCTTTACCGTTTAACACTTTTGGTTGTTATTGCCTTACCGCAGAGCTTGGAGAGTATACTGTTCTTGGTTCAAAACTCGTTTTCAGGCCAAAGGATTTGTGTCACTTACATTGGAACGCACGGGCAATCTCAGCGCCTCTGCCCAGTGGGATGACTCTAGTGACATCTCTTTCTCTGGTCCGACAGTAAGTTATGATTTAATAGTGTTAATGTAAACTGCATAGGTACTATTGTTCAAAGGGTTGTCCCACCTTCATGCAATCCCATGTACTTTTATTGTAAACAAATTAGCACTTGACAGCTGTAAAGCATTTTGAAATAATGTTTGTTATTACAAGTACATATATCATAGCTGATATGACTCAAGGTAAGACAAACAAAAGACACTTTAACAAGGTAAAAAATGAAATATTCACATCACCAAGATTCTTTTCAGCTATCTGAGTGACATATGGGTGTTGTTTTTTTTTTACATATTTATCTTACTCCATGTCGAGTAAGGGACTAATTTCATTAAGCCATGAACATGTATAGAAAGGATTGAACGAAAACATAAAGCTGCACATACTTTGAAATAATTCATTACGTCAGTTTTTGCAGAACCATAATATCGCAAGAAATTTCAAGCCATAAAGTCAGTTTATGTCCTGTGAAACATTGATAAATTTGATTAATTAGGGTGTATGTAACCACTGAAACGTACCACACAAGGATGATTTTTGTATTGTTCTTACCATTCTTGTGTTACCTTCCCAAGTTTTCGTTGACCCCGATGACCAAAAACTTCAATGGTGGGTTGGAGAAAGACGAGACGTTTGTCCGAGCACAACTTACGATAACCCCAGCGTTGAAAGTACATGTTCCAAACATGGCTAAAATTGAGCGCATCATACGAGCCGCATCTTGGTGGATTAAATGGTGGTTGAAAGATCTGTTTGGGGAAGGAGCATCGATCAGTAAGTTATTTTGGGGGGATTTTATTTTAAGAAATATCATTTATGAGTCAATTTACTGAATTTGTGACTGCATTTTTTATTTTGCAAAAAATAAATAAATAATACTAAGAAACTTTAAGATCGCGGCTGCCCAATATGTTACCAGCTAAGATACTAAAAATACTAAAAGAATGGTAAATTAACATATAGTTTAGAATTTGTTTACAATATGCTGACTGCCACCTTTGCACATTAGGTTTATATTTTATATATTACTTTTATATATATGTTATATTTGTACCTTTTTAATCGATCTTCAGATTGAGGCACGAACCTTTGTGTGTTTTGCAAAATAAATAACATAAAAAATAACCCATCTCTTCGTTGTATCAGACATAGATCCGATTCTTGAGTTCGTCCTATCAGCACCACTGATAGGCAGAGCAGAGGCCTTTACATGTCCTAGTGACTGCGAGAATTACCCTGATGAAAATATTAAAGTGGCAGCTCACGCGGGACTTCCCGAGAGTTATAACGGAGACCTGTACATCCGGGTACCTCTTACAAAGTTTGTAAAAACTTATAAAGTGTTTGAAATGAAAGGAAACCATTTTGATGGCAGGTGAGCACCAACGTCTGTTGACAATGCATGGTTTTATCTTTTATAGTTGGAAATTCAAAGATGATCGTTGCTGTGATTCAGATACTTAAAAACATTTTGATGACTAAGATCTGCAAAAACAGTATATTTTTGGTATTTTCTGTTGCTTAGGAAGCAGAACCTACATTCTGGGTAAAGAACACGTATTTCTGCGTTTTTTGATTCAGTAGCGTAAAAATATCATTGGTTACAATTTAAATGCCTTAGTAACTGCTTGACTTTAAATGTGCTGTTTTATATAGAAGATAGTAGCCAATGGTTTAAACATTGTCAGACACTACCAAGAAACATTTGAATATTGTTTGAATATTATCTTCAGAACGAATAATCCAGATTAACACATTCATATACTATCTGCATATACCACATGTAAGGGTGTCTCGTTTAAAACATAAATTAGCCTTACAAACCATCTAACTTAAAGCATCGATATATTATTTTTGTTACAGAAAGTGCCTGGAATGGAATCCCTTTCCGCCATGTGTTTGGATGACGACACCTGCCATAAATAAAACAACACTTGATGACATTCCTTATAAGACAATTCCCCTATCACCCACTGCTATAAAAATCACTACCAAACCCACTGCAATAACATACACTACCACACCCACACATATAACAAACACTACCACATCCACTGATATAACAAATACTACCATACCCACTGCAATGACATACACTACCACAGCCACTGATATAACAAACACTAGCACACCCATTGCAATGACATACACTACCACAGCCACTGATATAACAGACAGTACCACACCCATGAATATAACAGCCACTCCCAAACCCACTGATATAACAAACACTACCATATCCACTGATATAACAAATACCACCACACCCACTTATATAACAAACACTACCATACCCAATGGTATAAGAAACACTACTACACCCACTGCAATGACATACACTACCACAGCCACTGATATAGCAGACAGTACCACACCCATGAATATAACAGCCACTCCCACACCCACTGATATAACAAACACTACAACATCCACTGATATAACAATTACTACCACACCCACTTATATAACAAACACTACCATACCCAATGGTATAAGAAACACTACTACACCCACTGATATAACAAACACTACCACATCCACTGATATAACAAATACTACCACACCCACTGATATAACAAACACTACCACATCCACTGATATAACAAATTCTACCACACCCCCTGCAATGACAGACACTACCACAGCCAGTAATATTACAAACACTACCACACCCAATGGTATAACAAACACTACAACATCCACTGATATAACAAATACTACCACACCCACTACAATGACATACACTACCACATCCACTGATATAACAAACACTACCACATCCACTGATTTAACAAACACTACCACATCCACTGAATTAACAAATACTACCACACCCACTGCAATGACATACACTACCACGGTCACTGATATAACAAATACTACAACATCCACTGATATAACAAACACAACCACATCCACTGATATAACAAACACTACCACATCCACTGAATTAACAAATACTACCACACCCACTACAATGACATACACTACCACACCCAATGGTATAACAAACACTTTAACATCCACTGATATAACAAATACTACCACACCCACGAATATCACAACCACTCCAACACCCACTGATATAACAAACATTACCACTGAATTAACAAATACTACCACATCCACTGATATAACAAATACTACCACACCAACTGAAATGCCATACACTACCACACCCAATGGTATAACAATCACTATAACATCCACTGATATAACAAATACTACCACACCCACTACAATGACATACACTACCACAGCCATTGATACAACATCCACTGATATAACAAATACTACCACACCCACTGCAATGACATACACTACCACAGCCAATGATATAACAAACACTACCACACCCACTGATATAACAAACACTACCACACCCACTACAATGACATACACTACCACAGCCACTGATATAACAAACACTACCACATCCACTGAATTAACAAATACTACCACACCCACTACAATGACATACACTACCACAGCCACTGATATAACAACTACTACCACATCCACTGATATAACAAACACTACCACAGTCAATGAATTAACAAATACTATCACACCCACTACAATGACATA